TACGGCGCCTGCGACTCCGAAAACATCTGGTACACGTCTACGACTTCGACTACTACTACAACTACTGCGCCGACGATTACTACTACTACTACTACTACTACTACTACTACTACTACTACGACTACTACTTTTTACTACGACTACTACGAAGACTACCACGGCTATAACGTTTACTCCGACTTCGACTCCAACTACCACTTGTGCGACCAACAGTACTACTAACCCTAGTCCTAGTCCTACGATTCATACTGCTACTACTCATGCAGATGCTGCGACGACTACTACTCCTACCACTACTACTACGACTACTACTACTACTACTGCCACGACTACTGCTACTACTACTACTACTACTACTACTACTACTACTACCACCACGACTATTGCTACTACTACTACGACTACTACTACTGCTACTACTACTACAACTACTACTACTACTACTACTACTACTACTACTACTACTACTACTACTACTACGACTACTACTACTACCTTTACTACTACTACTACTACTGCTACTACTACTACTACTACTACTACCACTACTACTACTACTACTACGAGTACCACGACAACGCCTACAACTACTTTTCCTAATACGACTACTACTACGGCTACTACAACTCTTACTACGTTTGGCACCTACTACAACTACTACTGCTACTCCCATTACTACTGCTACCACTACCTCTACTACTACTACCACTGCTACTACGACGACGACGACGACGACGACGACTACTACTACTACTACTGCTACTGCTACCACGAATACCACTATTACTACTACCATTACTAATACCACTACGACGATCACTACTACTACCACCACGTGTGCTACTGCTACTACTCCTGCTGCTACTACTACTACTACTACTACTGCTACTACTACTAATACTACTACTACTACTACTACTACTACTACTACTACTACTGCTACTACTACTACTACTACTACTACTTCGACGAACACTACGACTACTACTGCGACTCCTACGACTACTACCCCCACGACGGCTACCACTACTACTACTACTACTACTACTACTACTACTACTACTACGACTACTACTACCACCACGCTTACTACGACTACAAGTTCTACTGCTACGACAACTTCTACTACTACTACGACTACTACTACTACTAATTCTACTACGACTACGACGGCGACTACTGTTACTACTTCTAGCCACACTGCGGCTACGACTACTACATGTACTACTACTACTACTACTACTACTACTACTACACGACTACGACTGCTAATACCTCAGCCCCTTCGACCACAACTACTACTACTACTACTACTACAACTACTACTACGACTACTACTACTACTACTACTACTACTACAAATACTACTACGACTACTACTACTACTACTACCATCAATACGGCTACTACTACTACTACTACTACTACTACTCCTACTCCTACTCCTACTCCTAGTACAAATACTAGTACTATTACTACGACTACAACTACAACTACAACTACTGCTGTTACTACTGCGACTACCAATACTACTTCTACAACTGCGACCACTACTACTGCTGCTACGATTACGGCTTCCACTAGGATCATTACTACGACTACTACTATTACTGTTACCACTACGACTACTACTACGACGATTTTAAATGTTACTATTTCTACTACTACCACTACGACTACGACTTCGACTATTACAGCGACTTCAACCAGAACTGCGACACATACTGCGGCTACTACTACTACTACTACCACGATGACGACGACTAGTACGTCGACAACTGATACTACTACGCAAACTACTAATACTACTTCAACTGCTACTACCACTACTGCTACGACTACTACTACTACTACTACTACTACTACAAATACTACTACGACTACTACTACTACTACTACCATCAATACGGCTACTACTACTACTACTACTACTACTCCTACTCCTACTCCTACTCCTAGGACAAATACTAGTACTACTACTACGACTACAACTACAACTACAACTACTGCTGTTACTACTGCGACTACCAATACTACTTCTACAACTGCGACCACTGCTACAACTACTACCACGACCGAGACTACTCGTAAGACTACGGCTGCAACTTCAACTACTACGACTAGTACGCCAACAACTGCGACTACTACTACAACTACGACTACTACGACAACGACGACAACTGCTACTACTACTAGCACTGCTGCTGCTACTACTACGACTACTGCCACTACGACTACGACTACTACTACTACTACCACTACTACTACTACTACTACTACTACTACTACTACTACTACTACTACGATTACCACTACTACTACTACCACTACTACTACTACTACTACTACTACTACTACTGCTACGACCAGTACCACTACTAGTACGTCTCCGACTACTACGACTACTACGACTACGACGAATAGTACGACTACTACTACTACGACTAGTACGACTACTACTACTACTACTACTACTACTACTACGACTACTACTACTACTACTACTACTACTACTACTACTACTACTACTACTACGACTAATACT